GGAAAGGAAAGGAAAGGAAAGGAAAGGAAAGGAAAGGAAAGGAAAGGAAAGGAAAGGAAAGGAAAGGAAAGGAAAGGAAAGGAAAGGAAAGGAACTCCTGAAAATAATATAGATAACTATTAGGTTTCTGACTTCCCCCTTCTTTGTAATCCAACCAATTTAAAAGTATTTATAGACAAAAACTTTAGAAACCAAACTCTGAAGGCAAAAGATTTATATGATCTGAAGGGAAACCAGAGTATTTCAAATTTGATTTCTAAGATTCTCTGAATGGTTCTGTGTATGTCTTTCCAATACATTGTGGGGTGGGTGGGTTGCATGTCTACCACATGTGGTAGAATGTTCCTTCTGTCTTGTGGCATTTCCAACATATACTACTGTATGATATGTCTGTTTTGGCAATTATTGATGGAAATTGTAGGCAATCTGTAAAACATTGGGTATCAGTTTTCTCTTATGTTACAGCTTGGAGTAAATTTTATAAGTTGTTCTATAATTCTTCTCGTTGTATTGTTATCATGAAAGCAAGAGCAGCAATTTTCAGACTTCATTATATTATTTACAATATATATCTGGGTGCGATCATTATAACATCCATATAACATCAAGAATTTGGACTTTGGCACTCTCATTTTTCTTTTTCTGCTCCACCTGCTTTTTATATTATCTTTTTAGATGTAAGCTCAATAGCAGCAATTACTTCCTTTTTTAATTGATGTGTAATTTGCATTCAGAAATATTCTAGCTACAACATATAAAGAAGGAAGGCAGGCAGACAGGCCCAAATGTATTAAAAATTGTTTCAAAATGATAAGAACATAAGAGAATCATGATGGATCAAACCAAAATCTAACATTCTCAAATCAGTCCCAATGGGAAGCCAAATTCTGACATGATCGCATTCATGAGAAAGGCAGCTATGTAAATTTGACTCTGTTTCTTCTTTTCTATGTCTGGAAGCATATTTAGTATCCCTCTGAAATAATATGAAAATTGCTGGAAGATAATTTCATGCATGCATACATACACATCATGCTACTGATGCAATCTTTACACAGGCATTAAACAAGTTGCCCAGCCACTCCATAAGCATATTTTAGCATTTACCCAGTTATATCATTTACACTTGCACCTGTACATTTTTTGTCCTGCTCACAGCATGTGTTACTTCCTTTTCATCATTTTTTTTTAATTGCCCACTGGTCCACGTGATTTCCCTCTGCTTTTTTCTCTACATGTTCTGCACACATTTTCTTTTGCCCAACCCAGTTTGGTACTTCTGCTTCTGATCACATTCTCCACTAGCACTATCCTTTTGTTGGGTCCAGCTGATCCCTTTAACTCACAGAACAGCCAGAAACTCCTCATGGCAAAACTGAAGTCTCTTCTTCAATATTATTGTTTCTTAGCCTTTCCTTTTGATTGAACTGTCAGAAGGAAGGGAGATTCAGATATCAACAGGGCTCTTGAATAATGCTTACATGAGCCTCCCAGCTCCTCCCATCACAACAGCTTGGCTTTGAGATTGAAAGGAAAGACCACAATTTAGATCTTAGTAGAGATGAAAGTTAGGGTCAGGTCAAGGGCTTTGAAACTGCCAAGAAGACAAATCTTTCCGAAATACTATACCTTTTGAAGAGTAACATTTGATTCAAACGGTGGAGCTGATCTATTTTTGCTGATGACTCTCAATAAACTCTAGTTGTTGTGAAACAAGCATCCTCTTCACATGCTCAAAGAACACAAAGAACACAAGGAGGGATCGTTGTACATATGGAGGCATGGCTCTCAGTACATGGGCTAAATACTTAACATTATTTTTCCCTCTGCCCCCATGTCTGCCATCAGTGAAAATCTGAAGGATCGTAAGTGCATCAGTCCTTCTATACGATCTGAGCTCCTGCATGAACTTGTCTCCCAATCCTACAGAACAGGGATGGATGGTCATCGAGGCTTCACACTTTATGAAACCCCCACATCAATTGGCTTTAGCATGTGCACCTAAAGATTAATATAAATTAGGTAAATGCCAGCTTTCATTTTTCAATTTAATTCTTTAATTCTTAAAATGTATACACTCATTCTCAGTTCAATAGTCCATCATGCTGCATTTTGAATTAGTTTTATCATCTCCTTTTTATATCTCTTTGTAAAGGCTTATTGCAAAGAACACTAACAGCAGTCTGATGTGGTGGTTAAGATGCCGGAATAGAACCAGGAATTCTGCTTCTCCCTTAGGCATGGAAGCCAGCTGAGAAACTTAGGGCCAATCATTCTGTCTCAGGCTAACTCACTCAAGGGTGGCTGTTGTGGAGAAAATAGGAGGAGGGAACATTAAGTGCACCATCTTGAGTTGTACAAAATGAAGGTGGGATATAAATCAAATAAATAACATATTTACAGCTCATCATGCTTACAAAATGTCGATATATGTATTCAGAGGTTCCCTTCCCTTTGCAGACCTTTTATTAATTTAGCATAATTGGCATGTACTCCAAGACATGTACTGCTATTGTCTCCCTCTTCCAGATGCAGATTGTGTGAGTGTGTTTGGAAAAGAGGAGGCAACTGACTATCTGCAATGGCTAGTAAAATGGGATGGAAGCAAGTTGGCAAAAAATAAAATCCATATGAATTGAGAGGAAATTCTTATAGAAAATAGTACATTTTTCTGGAGTATTTCCAAGAAAGAAAAAAAAGAATCCTGCAGCCCTGATTTTTTATACTAACCTCTAGTCTGCCTTTCTAGCCCCACCCACACCTTCCAGTGGCCTTTTTCCTAAAAGTGGACATCTGCAGGTAGTTGTTTGATGATTTGCTCTGAAATGTCAGCAATAAAGCAGTGTAGAAAAAGGGCTTGAGAGCCAACTGCTTATCCAATAACTGTGTGTGTTTGTTTGTTTGTTTGAGAGGCCACCCATCTCATATACATGTTTCCAGATGGCTAACAATTAGAGAAAACTGAAAACAGAGTAGAAACACAATAAATAATTAAAAACATAAATAACACAAAACAGCCAAAAACAGCAATCGTGAACAATCACAACATCTCACAATAATCAATATAACCAAGAAGCGGGCTCACCCATGATACCAGGGCCCCGGCTTGGGGCAGAGCCAAGTTTTTAATGCCTCATGAAAGGCCAGCAAGTCAGGGCAAATCTGGACTTGGGAGGGGGGAAGATGTTCCAAAGGGTGGGTGTCACTTCAGAACTTGCAGGCACTGATGCTTCCTCTAATTCTTAGGGCTAAAGAGAGGCAATCCCCCGGCTGGCAACTATGTGGCTTCAAATAAATAAATTTCAAGCAAAGAATATTTTAATTCTTTCTCCCCATCTGCAGTTGCAATTGCAGTCCATACACTGTAAATGTGTACTGGGAAAAAATACTTCCTTAATAAGTTATTCTCTTATCCTTGTCACCATTAAGGGATTTGCCAGCCTATTTTTTTTTAAGTTGTATGGCACTTTTATTTCCCAAGTTTCAATAAAAGCCAATACGAAGACTTGAGATGAGACTTCTGATGAATAGCAGATGTATTTTGATCAAGACACAG